CGAGCACGACGAATTTAAAAATTCCGTATGTATATACCAATTTACCAAACAAAACCAATTTCCATAGCTACGGCTGAATCTTTCCGGCGATTGGAAAATTAGACGGTTTTCGAGAATTTCGTGAAACCACGTATATATACAGGGTGGTTGGTAACTGGTGGTACAAGCGGAACGGGGGTGGTTCTACGCGAAAAAAGAAGTCGAAAATATGGAATACAAATTTTTTTTTTAATTTTTCCATCGAGACAACGATCTACAGCGAGATCCGTTATAACGAGACGCGATAAAGTGCACGCGTACCGAACGAAGATTCAAAGTCGATTTTCTCGAGAACAAAGCCTCAGACGAAAAATTTTTATTCTATATTTTCGACTTCTTTTTTCGCGTAGAATCACCCCCTTTCCGCTTGTACCGCCAGTTACCAACCACTCTGCATATATTCGCGAATGTTTTCGTCGAATCCGAAGAACAAATGCACGAATAGAAAATTAGATAACAAACATTAGGATAGAGGAAAGGCGTCGAATACATTAAATATCTTTGCATAGACAATTTTTATCGGGTTGTCGGGACGTTTTTATCGAAGTTTCGATCCTTTTCTATTGCGATTATCTGTGTCGCGGAATAATTTACATAAAAATGAATTCAACAAAGATGAATGTAGAATACGGAATTACCTTTTCCCCAACTTTCAAGCTTTCCCTGCAGTAATATAAAGATTCACGTTCCCTTCGTACATAAGATGGAATGTAAAACTTGTAAATAAGAAAGCCAAGCCATCTCTTTGAAATCAGAAATGGTCGATCACTTGAATCTGAATCTTAACGAATAAACATAGATGTTAGCTTCAAAGGTTATTCGATATAAAGAATCCTCGAGTTCGTCATTGAATCTACATGCAATCGCCAAAGGTTAATCGCTGTTCCACGGAGTCTCTCTCGCCCGGAAAATTTTATCCGTATTTTATTATGCATCGCTTCTAAATTAACCGACCTATCGAAACAAACGAAATTTACCTATTGCGTAAACTCTCTGGAATAGGACGATGAAAAATAATTTCCAAGCCGCAGGTAGGTGACTCATTGTCGGTGCATTGAAATTCAAATTCTACGAGACACCCGTACACTGCACAGATCGTGGACAAATGGAACATTGGAGAAGATAGAAATGCGAAATTATCGGTAGCGGAGAAAGGAGAAACGAGGTTAAAATGGAAATATAGAAAAAATGTATGAAAGAAGAATGAGTCTAAATATCACATGGCAGAATTGAACTCTTGAGGTAGGTTTCTCCTTTCAATAGACCGGAGGTTACGTGCAGTGCATTTAAATGAAAATTGAATTTCCTGTATACGTACTACAAAGTATAGAGTAATTTGCCCATGCGGGATATTTTAAAAAGGAAATTCACCTTCATTCGCTTTCTATTTAGTTCATTAATTTCGAGAATAAATAATAGAGACAGGTAATTCTATTTTACTTTTCGATCATTCCTTCCATCTTTACGTATTAAGCTGTTTATGTTACTTGAATTTTCAATACTAAGGAAAATTATTCCTACAATTGTGCGATTCGAAATCTCGATTAGTTTTCATTTATTTATTTGAGACGTTAAATATTTCCAATTCTAGTTTACGCGGAAAAAGTCGCATTTAAATGGAATAGACGAGAAGATGGAAGAAGGACGAGCTTTATAACGTTTAAAGCCGCGTTTCTTTTAATTCTATGGAATAGGTTCGCGGAATATTTTTAATTATTCGATAAACTTAGTTTCTCGTTCGAGCACGAACATGCACTTGCACGTTTGGTCCACGCATTTCTGCGATACTACGATTCAACGATTAACTAATTATATCATTGTAGAGTATATAGACTTATTAATTAATATAATAAATTATTATATGCACGCACACGCATGTGTGTGTGACTCGAAAAAAAGAATTTGCTCCTATCGTTGCGTTGTTCGTTCAGTTTGAATATTTTATACCCACAGCGTCGATGATTATTCATCTGATTAGTAACATCTGGTTCTTAACACTTAACTCCTAATAGTGAATAGCGTAAGCTGGCTTATTTTTCTTCTAATTTTTAAAATCGCTTTAAAATTCAACACTGTTTAACATTTTATCCTTGGAACACTCTCAGTACGTACGTGTAACATGGTGTGTACGTGTGTATGTATTTTCTATCGTAGTTTAAGGTATCTTCTACCTCAATTTCCAAATAGTTTCTTTTAAATTGATTTTTATGAAATAATATTGACATGCAAGAAGGATACATTAAACAGTCTTCGACTGTTACTTCCTCGTCGATTATTCCACGTCACTCGGAAATATTATTTGAAATTCTTATATTTACATTGTGAATATACGAATATTCATATTTTTACGGCTACACTAAAATGTTAGAATCCGGACAGATATTTCTTGTACTTCTTAAATATCCTAACGAATACTATACTTTGGATGTCTTTATACAGGGTGGTTGGTAACTGGTGGTACAAGCGAAAAGAGGGTGATTCTACGCGAAAAAAGAAGTGGAAAATATAGAATAACAATTTTTCGTTCGAGGTTTCGTTTTCGAAAAAATCGACTTTGAATTTTCGCTCGGTACGCGTGCACTTTATCGCGTCTCGTTATAACGGATCTCGCTGTAAATCGTTGTCTCGATTGACGTTATTTTTTTAATGTTTAAAATTTTTAAATTGTTAAATTTTTATTCTATATTTTCGACTTCTTTTTTCGCGCAGAATCACCCCCTTTCCGCTTGTACCACCAGTTACCACCCCTGTATATCGTTGCATATTCTGTGCGTCCTTAGATTCTATTATTCACTTCTTTTATCTTCCGAATCTTTAAACGTTTCACACACAAACGTACAAAACTCTATGATCCGCTTATACCTCGCATACACGTCACAATCTGATTGTTTCGCGCAGAACATGAAACCGGTATACTTAGTCGTTGAAACATTACCAAATTAATAGCGGAACGAAGGAATAATCGATGATATTCGTCACATCGTTATTGCTACTTCGACCAACAACCAATCTCGTTCTTTCTGCTCGAGTAAGAAGTCTCGTTAAAAATACCAGTTCCTTTTATATAAAAAGAAAAAAAATTCCGACCTTACGATATTAATTCTATGCTAATCGAAGGTAGTTATCTTCGAAGAGATTGGCTTGCGCGCTCCTTATGCATAAATGCAGCATTTCCACGTAAGCTGATTCGTTGTTTGCTAGGTCGCGATTTAGCGAGCCATCGAGAATCAAAAAGCAATTTCGTTCTCTTCTTTGACTCTCGTTCCAATTGGACCGAAACTACGCTCGTTACATCCACGGAAATAAATACGAAAGATTTCGCGAATCGGACGAAACGACGCTGAGAACAACGGAAAAGTTCCTCGAAACGTTTATCCGTGGTCGTGCATCTCCGTGGCCGTTTCTCGTGCGAGCAATTCCAATCGATGCTCGGGATAAGCGCGGCCCGTATTCCATTCCGCCGGATGTTCATCGGTGTCACTGAAACTTTCTCCCGCTTTCAACTTCTTCTCTACGCTAGTTAACGAAGCGCGGCAATCGTTGCAGGGTATCTCTCCCACGCGTTTACGTCGGATCGCCTGCCACATGATCCGATATCGCGCCTTTTTTCGTTTACCATTACGCGACTTCAACTACGACCTTTCCGCGAGAACACGCGTTTCAATGCTAGCGGCTGCGACAAAAGCCGCACGAAACGCGGCGAATTAAAAGCGCGCCAAAGTAACACGGAAAACATTGTTCGTAGTTTACGTTAAAAAACGATTTGGAAAGGAATTTTACCGTTGCGAAAACGGTGTATATAAATGACGGAGATAGGAACAAATGGATAATAGATCTTTCTTTCTTTTTTTTTTTTTTTTTCGTAACGCGAGCGATGATATTTAACTTTATCCGGTAAATAGGATACCCGGTCGTTCAACAAATTTTGTTTTACGATCGAGCTCCTATGACTTCGAAAACCTGCACCAGACTACAACAATTTTGTTTGATTCCTTTCGCTTTGCTGCCTCCTATAAGTGGAAATAAAGCTTGCTTTAACTCGAATCGTCTACACGTCCGGATACGTTATTTTAGCTCTGTAACTCGAGTTTAGAACACGATCTAACCCAGACTTCTACATGGCCAAGTTTACCTGTGCAAATACAGCTTCTATATCGCTGCTACTCTAACAAGTTGCACTCTGCAACTCTAACTTTTTCAGCTATACGTTGCGAGCCGTCAGGAACCAATCTTTCTTTCTGTTGTTGGCATTGTCTGGAATAACCATAAAGATATAGAGATACAGAGTACGAGAGTCGTACGTTACCGTGTAAGTGGATGCGATATGAGAATGGAAAGAGAACGCCGTGTTAGACGGATAAAGGCGCCTTTTGTCCTTGTTCAACGCTAACCTTACCAATCCCGGTGAAACGACATAGAAAATTTTATTTGAAATTGCGCATCTGCCCTTATTTCTTTCGTTCGTCTAACTTTATGCACATTCTTATATTATTCGATTTCTCAATTTTTGTCAATACGAGAATTTACATAAAGTTGGATGAACAAAAAAAAAAAAAAAAAAAAACGACAAATGTACAATTTTAAATGAAACTTTAAACGAAACTTTCAAACTCGTCATTTGACTTTGTCAGATTTGGTAAGAGTTAGCGTTAATCAGGCGTTGGTCTGTGTCACACTTACGTATGTAGCGGCAGTCGACAACAAAACTTTCCAATGGTTTCGTCAATACAAGTATAACCATCTTCTCAACGCGAGAATTGATTGTAATTTTAATAAATAAATAAATAAAAAAAAGTATAACCATGGAAGCGTAAGTGCCGATGGACCTAACGAGTCATCGATATCTCTACGATCCCTCCACCGAATATTTGGAAGAAGGCGTACGTGACAAAGGTCGCGACCGCCTAACGACCGCGTGCGTAGTGAGGATATTGAAGGGCGACAAAAAGGACGAATCGGACCAAGGAAACGGTTGAGTTGTAAGCGAGAAGTGAGAATCGTCGGTTGGAATCGAGAGTTGTACGTAAAGAGAAGAAAGCGAAAATTGTTAATAAATATACTGTTAAACACGGCCGAGTGTTTCTTTGCGATCCTACACGTCCTACACCAAATAACCTCACGTATTTACCGTACGAATGTGCGTGTGTTATTAGCGTTCTCCATGCAGCGTTCTCTTTCTATTGCATTCAATATTGCATTTTCAGTCTTCGTCGTTGTCACGTAATTTTTGGGGTTAGTTGATGAAACAAAATAGCCGAGCCGTAACACAACTATTAATTTTGTTTTAATTAAACTTTATTATGAATTCAGCAATCACAATGTAACACACACTGAATTAACATAAATCACAATTCACTCCAACCACGTTATGTAAGACTTGGTTACAACGATACGTTGATTACGCGATTGTTATAAGAGTAGAGACCGGTATAGATACGTTGACTATTCCGAGGATACAGAATAAGTGAGTCTTTCTGGCGATACCATGTCCGAGGAAGGCTAGGGGTGGGCGTGTCTAAGGACACGGGACTATCGGATTTGTTGATGACAATTTTGGTTAAGGAAGCGAGGGCAGTAGACACCGTCTTCGATCGGATAATAAGATGGTTGGTAGACCAGGAAGGGTTTTAGCCACCCTCGCGAGAAAGTTGCTAACGGAACATACCAGATGCGAAGAAAACCAACTTTCTAAGCTAACACGTGGTAGACGATAAACGTAAAGGGTAATCTAAGACAGGAAATACTCGCTTGGTCCGAAGGACCTTAACCATGAAAATGCCAAGACTCCTGGTGGGTACTTAAGACTATCGAGGGTGCGCACCAAGAATCTGCAGACACTGGGTGCCATCTGCAGACACGCGGTGTGTGGCCTGGTCTCTGATGTGAATTGACGTTACATCGTCGTCGCTCGTTATCGTTTTAAAAGTCGCATGGTCCCAGAGCATTTGGTCGCAGTCGCAGTCTCGGTCGTAAGACTGCGAGCTCGTTAACGACTGGCTTATGAAACTCTGGTCGAAGAATCGCGGGACCTGCGAGCGAATGGCGAAGAATGGACCTATCTGAATTTAGATTCCGAACGATCGGAACCACGCTGAGACAGACCTCTGTCTCTCTTTGTATATCTACGTAAATAACGCGAGGCGAAAAACGTAAGACGACGCAAGTCGTACCCCAACTTCTTCAAAGGTCAACACCAGAAGCTAAAGGTTTTTCGTCATTGCGCCAGTCATTTCCGCCGTGTTTTTACGAACACCTGTCAAATTGACGGGCAAAGGAAAACGCGTATCTTCTTTCCAAACGACCAATCTAATTTAAAATAATTCGGTTGCGCTGGTTGCACGAAGCAAGGAATTTGTCGGGAATAAAATGTTTTAGCCATCGAACAGACAATGGGCAAAATGTTCTTAAAAGACTTAATTAATTTATACGATGTGAAACTGTTAGTTGTTGCGACCTCTTTGAGAAGCGTGTTAAAATGCGTCGCGAAAAGTAAGCGACGACGAGTATACTCGTGAAACGCGGAGTATGCGTGGCTGTTATAACACAGAATTAATATTCTGCGGATGCTCTGACAAGCATATAGCCTGAATTGCCGCGTATTTTTCGAACGATTGAAAAGATTCAGACGGTCCTTTCGTTCCGATTTACATTTCTATTCGATATACGTTTATCGAATTATACAGGTACGATTTTTTGTTCCGCAACCTTTTCCCATCTTTCACGCCACTTGAATATTCCATTCTTCCAGAACTTCTCAGACTTTTCGGCGGGAAACTTTTCAATATGATTTTTTACGTCGACCAAAGAGTTAAAAATCCGAACGAACTTTCCCAGCAGCGTTTAACACGTGTAATATTTTGTTAAAAATCATCGAGCATATTTAAAGACACTTGCAGTAACGTTTTTTCAGCGTGATATGCTTGAAAACATAAATGAAAACATATACTTGAAATTTCCTCAATGGAAAGGTACTAAGCAAAACTTACGACTTTATTAAATTCCTTAAAAATCGAAACGAACTTTCCGACCAACCGATATTATATCTAATAAATCGATAACGATTTCGTATTATTCAAGCATGCGACGTGAAAAAACTTTCATAACGTCTCGTTTACAGCATCCATTGCTTTTTTTACTGTTTCATTTAACGGTAGTTAACATTTTTATAGAATACCACGTCAAGTACGTAAGACGCGTTTCCAGTCCTGAAAGCGTTAAGTTATAACGAGATGAATGTTTCATTTCTCAATTTTATTACCGCAACTTACCGCAATTACTAAACTGCAATTTGAATAGCAATTTGTAACTACTTTTCACGCATGACGAGTATACTCGTCGTAACGTAAAACATTGCCATTTCTTCGTGACGAGTATATTCGTCAAGAACAGCTAACCAGTTAACCTTCACCCGCCCCTCGTGTCAATTCGATCTTCCGTAAAAGATTACACATCGAAGATGTAAAAGAGATTGCAACGATTTGTCTGAAAGTTTGTGACCTTCGCGTGTGAACGATAAAGAAGAAAATTAATTGTTTATCCCTTCGCGTAGTCGATGTTCTACTATTCTGTCAATTTGACATATTTGAAACGAGAGACGCATTAAATTGCAAAAATGCGGGACTGACAGGGCTTGATCTTTTGCATGTACGTCGAATTCCAAGAGGAAGCTTAAAATACCAACGCTTCCTGAAAAGGTGAACGCAATTGAACCTTCGTACTCCTTCGAATTTCCGCTTGTCGAACCTCGTTTGCTCGACGTTTTCGATAAGACGAAACCTCTAGAACTCGGAAATTTTTGCTCGTCCCTCGAGCTTCGAGCTACCAAGGTTCGACTTTAGCATTTTACGTTGCAAACACTTTACATACGTAGAGGAAAGTGGCCAAATATGGAACAGGCTATGTGGACTATAGGCTATTTCACTCGGTCAATCGCTCATTTTCAGAACGTTTATTTTACCAGAAACTATATTCGCTTATTTTATATTTAGATTTTTCTGATGGAAAAATGTGGATCAAGTAGCCAATGGTGTTTCGACGCTAGGATCTCAATGATTGCGAACAACTACGTTTCTGTTCTGTTGACCGATGTGAACGTTCCATATTTTGGGTACCTTTTCTTCGATGTCGATTCGATACTGACAATTTGTTTATAACGTTAGAGGTACAAGGCTAATTGTGTAACTGAATATCCATAAGAATCTTTTATGTATCGCGACTGAGGGTAAAATAACAAAAAAAAACCTTATTTTTATTATTCTTTTATTTTATTAAGGTTTTATGTGTGTATGTGGATGATTAAGCGAGAATACAAGGCAAGAGGGAGGATAATTATTGTAAATCGAGTTTATGGCCAGCAGTCTGAACATAAAGTATACTAGGTTGCAAGCTACGTATGCGAGTGAACGTAAAAACTGTACTACTACCGTTACGTTACAAGGCACACGCACAGAGTTAGGATAAAAAGATTAGAAAATAAAACCAAGCACGCTGTAATGGTATTTCGCGACGTATTTTATTCTGTAACGTTATATCTGATATGGTTATACCTTTCGATAAAAATCACAGATAATAAACCGAGTCTCCGTTTCAGCTGTAAGAAAATAAATTTCGTTTTGTATTATGTGACGCACGTTGTACATCGCATACAAATCAACCGTTTCTCATATTTCGAAAACATAGCGTTCTATGTGTAAGGAGAGATAAGAAGCACACGGGACACTTGTGTACGTACGTTGTAAAGGACTTCTCAATTTTGTATATGTGTCATTACGCATGAAATAACCGGACCAAAACAGTGGATACGGCGACATGTGTTTGACACGGCCAACCAGCGTGTCCGGACGTTTGATTTGCGTTGAAATCAAATTTTTCGGCCCAACTTCACCGAAACTTCGGGCTGAAATAACGCGTGACGGACGTAGGTTGCATTTCGCTTTCGATATTATTTTGATCGATATTCGAGCCAAAAGTACTTGCCATTTCAATTTAATAACGCAAATACGTATTTATATCGCATTTATATGTGTCCTATGGCTTTAAAAATATTACGAGGCAGTACACGACGATAACAAGCGAAACGAGAAAGTAGAATATTACTTGACTTTCGATGTTACATCTGTTTCAGCTGTATATTCTACGACCGATGGAAATTAGTCAAGCACAATGAAACTTGAATTTTAATCAACCCTTCGAACTAAAAGTATTTTCCATTTCGATTTCATAATACAAATTCTATGCCGTATATTCGCCATGTCTTACGAAATATTATTCTCCGATCACGATAACAATAACGACAATGACGTAGAATACATTTAACTTTGCATATTATATCCGTTTCGAACCTACGTGTATATCCTGCAACCGAGTAAAATTTCCAAAGCACAAATCGAATCTCAACTAAAGTCGATTAAAATCAACCGTTCGAACCGAAGGTCTTTTCTATTTCGATTTAATAACGCAAATAATAATAAGAATACTTACTCATATTTTTTCTTCTTTCTAAATATTATTACAATGGTGCAAGGCGGTGTGCAACGATAATAAGAAAATCGAGATGACAGAAACGGCCCTTTAAACGCATAACTGCGCAACTATACGTGCGATTCGAAGCATTTCAATAACAGTCCTCGGAGTAGGAAACACTTCAAGTATGCGCTATCCTTGAATGAAGGAGTTAGACAAACTGACCGTCTACTCATTGTTGGAGCGCTCGATAATTACCAGTTCCAGGGGATTTTCTTCCTTACCGGTGTCCTCAATGAAAACTTGGTCCATGTATATTACTTTAAAGATTCAACCGGGATAATTGAGTTTCGAAAGTCCTTTAGACGCAGTCGTTTTACCGTGCTCGGTCGCGACATCTAGCGTACGCGAAAGCCGGAAATACAAGAGAAATTAAATTTCGCGCCACAACGTTCGTATAAATATCAGGTTTTTTAGATGCAAAGTTTCCAATATGATTTTCGATCTTTTT